AGTGTAATGGCTGATCTCTTATCTTAGGGCTCTAGTAAGAATCTGTCCAGATATTAGATGCTAATAGTGCTTCTTGGTATCCTCTTCCATGATTGATAATCACTTGGCACTCTTGGTACGAATCTGCCCAGCATTTTATTAATGCAAGTTGTTCTGATCTTTAGTTTATCTTTTCTTAATCAGGGTGTTAGCAAAGGTGTAGTAGCGGAGAAGATATTTACATCAATGGCCGATAAAGGAAGACAGGCCGATTTTGTGCTGTGCATTGGCGACGACAGGTCGGACGAAGACATGTTTGAGAGGATCGGTAATGCCTCAACAAGCGGAGTACTCGCATCGAGCACGAACGTATTTGCATGCACAGTAGGCCAGAAACCAAGCAAAGCCAAGTACTATTTGGACGACACAAGTGATGTCTTGCACATGCTCAGAGCTCTTGCTGAAGATTCAGACCCTTTATCTGATGAAGAAGATGAAGACAGCAGATCCCCCTAACGTCCTATCCATTTCTTCCTCCACAGCATTTTTCTGTGGGTCATTTGTTGGTTGAATTCATAACGGGAAGAATACACACCATAGCAAAGCCCTGGGCTCCAGTTAGTTGAACGAAGAGACGTGGTTTGTTTGTGGCCCAGTAGCCATGGCATAGCCCCGGGAAGGGAGGCTAGTCAAAGCCCTGCAAATCTGGCAAACGAAGGGAAATGGATGGCTGTTTCGAACGAAACAGTGAAAAATGGTTGGTCTGGTAAACAAATGAATGGGCTTTGCTGAGGTTGTGTAGGGTGGATGGATGCGAGAAGAGGGATGGAATCTTATCTTATGAACAGGAACTGAATGGTTATTGCTTGACGGTTGACGATGGATGGATTGCAATGAATTAACGCATTGCAGTATTGTGGCAGTGAAGTTATGATAAGGAAAAGAAAGGTCTGTACTTTGCTGTTGTTTGAATGTTCCCACCATTGTTAACAGAGACAGTCATGGTGGTGGGATTATATACTTTTTCCCTTTTGCTCTGTCTAGAGAGAGTAGTCGAGTGAGTGATTTATTTTCATTCCCCGCGTTTACTGTCGACTATTGGTTTGGTAAAAATTCAATTGCCCTGTCCAATGTGTAAATGTTATACTGAAAACTGGCAGTCGAGTTTATTCTATTCTCTGCATAAAAGTTTGATTCTTTGGGGTTGACGGCAAGTGATGTTTGAATTGAACAGTTTGCAGTCTGACTATCCTTCCCAAATCCAGTTCGTTTTATCTGAGTGATTTCGTCGTAGTACTTTCCCAGGGCTCTGCATTTCAGGATTGAGCCTGCTGTCCAGGCGGACACCCAAAATCGACATGGCGAACAATGTTCATCGACAGATAACTTTCCCAGGGCTCTGCATTTCAGGATTGAGCCTGCTGTACAGGCGGACACCCAAAATCGACATGGCGAACAATGTTCATCGACAGATAGCATCGGTGAACATCGATTCGTCCGTTTCGTTAGACATTGGTCAGCGTCGGATGAACCATGCTCAGCAATTACTGATACGTCCCCAATCCCACATATCAACCAGCTTTAACATTAAGTACTAAACTTCCGAGTTCTCAAGTCCTCGCTAAATGTGCTAAAACAGTAGTCAAATGAAAAAAGAACTAGCTTCTCACTCAAAAACTGTCACTTTGACCAACTTTTCGTATGTTCTTCTCTTCCTAACACTTTTAATTAACAGAAGGATACATGGGGGAAAACAACTACTACAGCAGGAACGCTAACAGGGTTCTCAGAAGCCAAAGAAGCCGAGCTCGCTGGCCTTCTCCTTCTCGAAGGTCTCAAAGTACTGGTAGATGATGGTGACTGCCAGCAGGATTCCAGTTCCCGAACCGATTGCTCCCATGAAATCGGCCAGCACGGTCAATGCACCAATGCAAATCCCACCGAAAGCAGCTGCCGTTGGGATGTAGCGGTTCAGCTCCTTCTGCAGGTTCGAGTCACGGTGTCCTGGCATCACCATTTGTTGCTCCTGAAAAGGGGAGAACACACACGATCAGGTAACACAACCAAAAGACAAAGCTACAGCATTCATGAGCATGAAGCTGGAGAAAAAAGCAAATAATCGAAGATGGCCACCAAATCGTACCTTCAATTGCTTGGCAACATCACGGGCAGAAGACCCAGAAACCTCAATCCAGGTTTTTGAGAAGAGCGCGCAAGCACCGAGCATAAATACCAGGTAAAACAATGCATGGAATGGGTTGGCTGCCATGTCTGCCAAGCTGCGATAGGTGAAATTCATAGAAAGACCAAACCAGAAAAGACAAGTGAGAAGAACGCACCACAGGATACACAAGACGAAGACATTGCAAATGTGAGATATGGAGGGAGAGGGAAGAGACAAATTGATGGGCTGCTTTACCTAGCTGGCGCAGTGACGTAGTATGCAAGGCCACCAACAGGGATGAACTGGCCACCAGAGTATTCAGACTCCTTCCACTTTCCCAACAAGTTGACAAAGAAATTGCCGCTGTACTTCCTGTAGAGCAGCTGAGAGATGAAGTAGAGGTTGGAAACAAGAGCAGATTGGAGGATGATTGGCATGTTGGAGGTGTAGAAAAGCTTAATTGGGTATGAACCCTGCTGCCCACGAGCATTCTTTGACCTCACAGGTAGCACAACACGGAAACCTTGGAAGTAGATAACAATGAGGAAGATCAAGACTGTGGCAAGCAAATTAGTAACATTTGGAAGATTCTGTCGATAGAAAGCCTCTCGAAGAGCACGAACTTTGTCCGTCCTAGTAATTAAGAGATGGAACAAGGCAATAACAGCACCCTCGAACTCGGCACCCCGACCACTGTTGATTGTTGTAGGGCTGAATGCTTTCCAGATGATGTTTTCACTGCATTGAATTAACATTTGAGCAAACAATAATCAGAACCCAGCATAGATAAATTATTGGGTAGTTTGGTTTATGGAATGTGTTCATGCAATGTTGAGTTAAATAAATTCCATCATGAGATGAAAAGTGCGTCTACTTGGTTTGGTCTTTCAAGGAGAAGAAAAATAGGAGAGATGGAAACTAAATTTGATTTAATTTCCTAAGTTGCGAAGAATGGTAAAACGAAACGTTGTCCTAGTTGAATTCCATGATTCATTTTCCAACATTACTATAGATGCATTCGAATGATGGAATGTCCAAATCCCTTCCTACAACATTCCAAGCATTTTACTTTTGAAGGATCGCTATAGTGCATGAACCAATCAACCCACAATTAAAGCGATTGAGGAAAGCAGAAACTTATGTATACATCCCTACCAGATGTTGGTGGCAATGAAGAGAGAAATCCCAGAGCCGAGACCATATCCCTTCTGGAGCAGCTCATCCAGACAGATAACAATGATTCCAGCGAAGCACAACTGAAGAATGATGAGAATCGCATTCCCAACACCCAACTGGCCAACACTTCCGTACATCCCAGATAGCACATATGCAACAGCCTCGCCAACAGCAATCAGGATACCCAACAGCTTCTGTGCGCCATTCCTAATAACCACCAATGAGAAATACAAAATTTCATAAGAAAGAACACTATCAGCTTGCCAAACAGAAAGACCACATGGAACTCAGCAGTTACAAACGCTCAAATCACCAACAGCTCCACAAGCTAATCAAATAAAGAGCAGAAGCAACAGACAACGACTTACAGCAAAGCACGATCCTCACGAACGCTGTTGTCAACCTCAATGATCTTGGATCCAGCCAAGAGCTGCATCACCAGCCCAGAGGTAACAATAGGGGTAATCCCGAGCTCCATAACCGTACCTCTGTTGGAGGCGAGAATCACACGCATCCAGTAGAAAGGATCGGCGCCGGTGGTGGAGTGGATGCCATAGAGCGGCAGCTGGCTGCAGACCAAGAAGATGAAGAGAGCGATGACAGTGTAGATGACCTTCTCCCTAAAAGGGATCTTCCTGTCTGCGCTCTGCACCTCGGGCAGGAACGAAAGGAAAGGTCTCACCAGATGGAGCACCCTGAATCCTCCTCCCATTTCTTTCACGAGTCAATGACAATAACCTTCACACAGCAGCCAAAAATTGATGGTAAGAGCACAGATCCAGAATCAGACTGGCAAATCGGTATATGAAATTGGCGTAAACAGTAAACTGAATCAAACCAGACAGATCGACGAACGGCCTAAATCGGAACCCTAATTCACATGCAAGTGGGATTTTAAAATCAATACGGCATAGTTTGCACCGATCTAGCTCGATTGCAGATGCGCTAAGTCCAGAGAAATGCGTTGAGCAATCGAGTAGAGGCATAAACAGATTCAGTTATTCGAAAGCAGGGAGCCTTACTTTTGGACGCGATCTGTCGATGGCGGAAATGGAGCTCGCAGAGAAGTAGAGCAGGACGCGGCTCGTTATTTGACCCGCTCCCAGAAATCCCGATGTGGGTTAGAGGCTGTAACAGTTCGAGTTTACATAAAGAGGGTGGGCAGGTGGCCACGAGACACGACCAATTATATCGTGACACGTAACAGACGACCAATCAAATTTGGGCTGATGTGTTAAATGTCCCTCAACTTGGGCTGTTGCGGCCTGCGGGCCCGTTCATTTTCTTAGGATTTTTCCTTCCCTACGGACCTCTTTAGGATTTTTAGTTTTTTTCTCTTTACTTTTAATTTGTAGATATAATCCACATTTCAGCATACATAAGGTGAAATTTCAGCTTCTACATCTCGTTAATTGAATTCCCCTGCTCCAATCTTGATTCGAGACATTTGGCATGTGAGCATCTCACAATCAGAGTAATTACTATCGATCCGATCAATGATCCGCTAGTATTAATTATTGGGTCGTATATATGGTAAAACAACGGTCACCGTAGATATACATCTAAATCGAGATGCATTGAGCTCACTCTCAATCTAAATGAAACTCGTCACAATCCACACATTCGATGAACCTGACACAATCCACACATTTCATACAAAAACTAGATATGAGATCTTCTAGTGGAAAATCAATCCAGAACCTTGATTGCTCAACCGAATTCGGCATTTTATGTTGGCCTATATAAGGGATATAAAACAAGAAGTGGAATCTCTAAGAGATGGAATTCATGAATCAAGAGCCAAATATATACACAAGCAAACACAGGAATGAGGGAGAAACGAAATAAAGAATCCAAGTTCCAAATTTGAACAAAAGAAATCAATCCAATGTTTGTCAATTTTCAGCAAAACATGTATTATATATGACTTCAACTAAGGCAATGGTAAGTCAGTTGAGGTAATCAGTCGACGGTGAATGGTAAAAGCCCCTATTCCTATCCTTATATTCATCCATCCGCTTTTACATCTATGGAAGTAAAGGGAGGCTCTGCTGCAGCTGTTGCTGAAGCTGAAAACCCACCAAGGACTGTTCCGAAACGAGGAGCAAACCCCTGCTTCCACTATAGCATTGCACTCGCTAATCGCTGACTACAGAAAACCCTTGTTAGAACTTTTAACCCACAATAAGAGCACCTCATGCCGAAAGTCTGGCTCAAGCTGGCAGCTGAAGCTTTGCGTTGTTCTTCCAACTGAAGAAGAAAAGTGTAGATTGAGATTAAGATAAGAAAACAGGTTATCAGGGGTGTGGAGCAGCAGCAAACACGAACGACTTGCATACCTCAAAAAGTAGTAGTAGAAAAAGTCTGCATATAAGGCTGTTTGTATGACGCCAGAGATGACAGCTGAAGAAAACCAGGGCAGAGTTATATCAAAATGCAACATGGTCTCTCAAGAAGAAAGACAGAAGAAATACAAGGGACAATCCGTGGGGAGATAGTGATAGTTACTGTTTTACCTATCCAACGTCCGAAATGTGATTCAGTCGCATAACGGTATATCCAATTCAAGATGTAGAGTCCACGGTAGGCCCTGTAAGACAAAAGACTGGGTCACTCCTAAGATTTACTGTTGTTGGGTTACATGCCTTCGGCACACCACATGGCTGTGTTTAGAAACTAAGACATCTAGAGTGATCTCTAGAAGCCAATATTTGCAACTAGCACCCAGCATTTTAAATGATGACAAGGGAAAGGCTGTCACCACTGGTTTGCTTTTCCACTAAGTAAAAAGCTTATAGTTTTGTTTCTTGTGTAAAAGTAATATACCAGCAATTTTACTAAACCAGGATAATGTAAGAAACAACCTAACCATACACATCAGAAGAAACAAACTAACCACTGAGTTGGTATTATGTTTTCTTTTAAATGGCTAACCCCACACTCAGACATCCTAGGTGAGGATCAAATAGCAGTTAAATTAAGGCCATCAAAGCCTGGAGCAGTCCACCTGTCCCAAGCCGGTAGCTTTCTCATGACACCGATATGATGAACATACCGATGATTGAACATGAATGAAACTAAAAATTAAGATCAACTCTCAAGCCTAATATGTTAAGAGAACAAACATAATGGTCAGTGCAGAAAAGCTCTCCACGATCATCTTACACTAGTACTAAAAGCTATCAGTTACGTCATCAGAAAGATACCAGCAAGGCAGGATATATAAAGAAGGCCAACGTAGATCTCTCAACAAGTAATTCGGAAGGGCAAAGAAAATTCATCCAGCACAATGCAGAAAAGAAAAGCTTTAAGCCGACAAAACTTTCAACAGGGCACTCTTTCATCCCAATGGTGCTCTACATGATATGGCCATCTAGATACAGCATTGCATGACCCAGAGTGGTGCGACAAAAGAGTGATTCTAGATATATCAAACATTTAAAAGTTCCAATATGTCATAGCACATAATCATTAGTAAATATCCTACAAATCCATAGAGTTACAAATTGAACTGGTTCGAGCAAAAAAGAGTGCATTTACGTACCCGAGAAATAAGACATATTGCCCTGTTAAATTATCCACATTGCCACTCCTCTGGAGCAGGACCAACTGAGGAAGAATTGCAACTGCTTCCAAATATATTGAGAATGCCCAGAAGATCTACACCAAACTATGACTATAAGAGTACAAAGCAAAAAATGGAAATGGCTTGTGAAGAAAGACAACTGTCCATAAGATTCAATCTACCACTTGAAGATAATGAAGTACTCCCAAGTTCCAACTGAATTTTACTCATAAAGATCATACAGCAGATATAGAAGAGTACTAAAGATTAAGAAGCAGCGTCCATTTCTGGGAGCTTCTCTACCAAATTCAAAGCAGATAACCCCTTTCCTTCTTTCCTCCCTCCCTTGGTTTCGTACCAAAATCAAAATGATACTTAACCAAAACTGCACCACGGATATAGAGAGTACTAAAGATTAACAGAGCTAGACGAAGCATCAACTATCTGGGAGGTTCTCAGCCCCATTTCAGAGCAAATACTGCCACTCTCAAATAATGGTGCAGGACCAAGCCAAAGCACAATCAAACGCTTAAACCACTTCTAGTGAAGTAAATGACAGCCTATGATCATTCCAAAATCACAACGATCAACGAGGACAAAAGATTATCAAGTAGTCACCTCCAGAAACGTGAACTTCTCGTGCCAAAGCAATGCCAGCACGAAGCTTCCGCCGACGAGAAAATAGTGGCGGAACGTATCGAGGTCCTTATCGTAAGAACGGCGGACGAGAGGATGCCTCCGCATGCACCACACGATGGCGAGACTGCTGGCTATGAACACCATCTTCATAACATGGTTGTAAACGGAGACGAAGTTCGTGAACAGATCCAAGTACCTCGCGAGAAACACCAGCGCGTACAGCTCCTGCGTCTTCCTCGAAATCCCTAATTAATAATGAAAAACAAAACGATAGGTGCCGGTCAATTTGAGCATCAATTTGTTCCAGGAAGGGCCATAAGAGCAGCGCAACCATTCACGGCGGCAGCGAGGGAGGAGGAATTTTACCTGAGCAGGATTTGGTGGCGTAGATTTTGAGAAGCAGGATCAGAATACTGATCAGGTGAGTCATGTCGCCGAAGAATCTGAAGATATTCATGGCGGCGGGGGAAATGCGGTGTGACTGGGAGGAGCTGAAATTGGTGCCCTAGAATTTCCCAGTGAACGGAGGAGGCGCGGTGCGACGGCGGGGCAGAAACTGTTGTTAAAATTCGAGGGGTCGGTGGGGAGTAGATAGAGAGAGTGACAGTTCGTCGACTCCTCGGCTCCGCTGGTGAGAGGTGAAGGTGAGTGCTGAGGTGGCACCTAGAAGAGGCTCCTCCTCCTTCCACGCAGATGGACAAATTCTGGGGTTCTTTGTTGGTCAGTATTTGGCCGGTTTGATCAATCCCATCGAATCCAACCGGTTCATATCTCGAGTTTATACATAACATTGGTTCAAAATCCTCATAAGCGCCTATTCATTAATTCGTAACTCGATCAATCTTTTAAAAGATTAACACATAATTTGAGTGAACCGTTATATGGCGAGCATATATCTCAATATGATATGCTCAAATCAGATCAAATCCAATTGATAAGAATCTAACTGAACTAGATAATCACGTTCAACGCACTTTTGATATAACTCTCTCATAAGTCATAACATTATTTGTCTGGAAATTAATGCCTCGTAATGCAAATATCCTGCTACTTACACAAATAGTTTGCAACCGCATTCATCTATAACTTTTTGTTAACCGGAAAAATGTCAAGAGAAAATAGCAATACACGGGAATACCCCACACCTACAAGAACCCATCGACCCTAACTACAACAATAGTCATGCTAAGAAATCAAACGATTCCGATTCTAACAAACACAAATAAAGGGCTTTACGCGCCACTTTATGGGCAGTCCAATTGACAACTCTAAGAACCGCCATAAACTCTACACCGAGAGGCATGCCCGAGACCTGATGAAGACAATCTCGAAGTACTAGTTCACCCAATGCATTTGCGCAATCTACCGCAACAGAAATGGCATATTGAACGACAAAAAGTTCTACAATGTATGGGCTAGCTATTACGAGTTGTAATGATATGAGTTTATCCTATTCAGTATCTTCCCATGTAGTACAAGTTTTTATTTTCAAAGATACCCCAGCCAAACATAAATAGCGGTATAAAAACACGAGAAAAAAGAGAAGGAATCAAATAGTGTAAAGAAGAGTTCTCATGTTGCAAATTAAACAATTGGCGCCCTATGTGGAAAGAACTCCTAAGCTTAAACTTTTGTACAGAAATGCTTGAAGTGTAAACTCTTTGGGAGCAAACTGACAAGTTTATTGATTAGAAATCAAGAATGTTAAGTACAAGGGTTTCAACCATTGACTTCGGCTTTCAAATCAACCCACTAACCCCTTGATTTCAGCTCCCATGACTCAACTAACAACCTACTAATATGCTAACTTAACAACCAAGCATTTTGTAATGTTGGAAACTCGGATGGACTCAATTGACACTAAACAAAACACAAGGACTAAACTGAAACAAAGACACTCTGTCTGTGATCTAGACTCTTAAGTAAAACGTCAACCGTTTTATTCTTCTTATTTGAAACTTAGACTTCCTGCTTGTTGGCTCCAATTCTTCTCCTGCTCGGATTCAGACTCAGAGCCTTCCTTCTGCCTTCATTTAAGCTCACAAATCCTCCCCTGAACTGAAGCCGGTCAACATGCTTCAGTTCACTCCATCCTCGGTCTTCTTCTTTTCATTTAAAGCTGCAAATTCCACTACTCCAAGTTTGGTTCTCAGAAGCTCGAATGTTTGAGAGGTTTTGTTAATATGTCTGTTGCTTGCTCTTCAGTGCCACAATGCACCATTTCAATCACTTCTTCTTTTAACAGATCTCTGAGGAAGTGGAAGCGAACATCTACGGGCTTGCTCCTGCTGTGGAGTACTGTATTTTTGGATAGCTTGATAGTGGAACTGTTATCATAGTACACTTTTGTGGCATCTTCAACACTTATTTCTCATCCCATCTGCTTCAAAATCCTCCTCAACCAGACACATTGTGCTGCACTGTACGAAGAAGCTACAAACTCTGCTTCTGTGGTAGAAAGAGTAACCACTGGTTGCTTCTTTGGGCCAGAAGAAATCACCCCACCAGCCAGAAAGAATGCATACCCGCTTGTACTTTTCCTGTCATCTTGATCTCCAGCATAATCACTGCCAGTATACCCTACTAGACAACCTTCTTTGCTTCCCTTTTGATACCAAATTCCATGCCCCAGAGTTCTTTGATATATCAAAGAACCCTTTTTTGCTGCCAACATGTGTTGTCTTGTTGGATTTTCCATGAAATGACTCAGTAGGCAAACTGAATACATGATGTCAGGTCGATTGGCAGTTGCATAGAGCAGACTTCCAATCAACTGTTTGTATTCTGTTGGATTTGCTGGAATGTCATCACCTGCTTTTGTTTACTTCATTCCAGGAGCAATTGGCTTCCTTGCATAGTTGCAGTCACTCAGATTGAACTTCTCTAGGATCTCCTTAACATACTTCTGCTGTGAGATAAAGTTGCAGTCACTCCGATTGAACTTCTCTAGGTTCATAACCCGAGTTTATATATAACATTGGTTCAAAATCCTCATAAGCTTTTATTCATTGATTCTTAACTTGATCAATCTTTTAAAAGATGAACGCATAATTTGAGTGAACCGTTATATGGCCGGCATATATCTCAATATGATATGCTCAAATCAGGTCCAATTGATAAGAATCTAACTGAACTAGATCATCACGTTCAACACACTTTTGATCTAACTCACTCATAAGTCATAACATTATTTGTCTGGAAATTGATGCCTCGTAATGTAATTATCCTACTACTACATGAATAGTTTGCAACCGCATTCATCTATATCTTTTTATTAATCGGGAAATGTCAAGAGAAAATAGTAATAAACGGGAATACCCCACACCTACAGGAAACCATCGACCCGAACTACAACAATAGTCAGACTAAAAAATCAAACGATTCCAATTCTAACAAATACAAATAAATGGTTTTACGCGCCACTTTATGGGCAGTCCAATTGACAACTCTAAGAAACACCATAAACTCTACACCGAGAGGCATGCCCGAGACCTGATGAAGACGATCTCGAAGTACTAGTTCACCCAATGCATCTGTGCAATCTACCGCAAAGAAATGGCATATTGAACGACAAAAAGTTCTGCAATGTATGGGCTAGCTATTACGAGTTGTAATTATATGAGTTTATCTTATTCAGTATCTTCCTATGTAGTACAAGTTTTTATTTTCAAAGATACCCCTAACCAAACTTAAATAGCAGTATAAAAACTCGAGCAAAAGAGAAGGAAACAAATAGTGTAAAGAAAGAGTTCACGTGTTGTAAATTAAACAATTGGCACCCTGTGTGGAAAAGAACTCCTAAGCTTAATTTTTTGTACGAAAATGCTTGAAGTGTAAACTCTTTGGGAGCAAACTGACAAGTTTATTGATTAGAAATCGAGAATGTTAAGTACAATGGTTTCAGCAATTGACTTCGGCTTTCAACTCAACCCACTAACCCCTTGATTTCAGCTCCTATGACTCAATTAACAACCTACTAATATGCTACCTTAACAACCAAGCATTCTGTAATGCTGGAAACTCGGATGGACTCGATTGACACTAAACAAAACACAAGGACTAAACTGAAACAAAGACACTCTGCCTGTTCTAGACTCTTAAGTAAAATGACATTCGTTTTACTCTTCTTATTTGAAACTTAGACTTCCCGCTTGTTGGCTCCAATCCTTCTCCTGCTCGGATTCGGACTCAGAGCCTTCCTTATGCCTTCACTTCAGCTCACAAATTCTCCCCTGAACTGAAGCCGGTCAGCATCCTTCAGTTCACTCCATCCTCAGTCTTCTTCTTTTCATTCAAAGAAGCAAATTCCACCACTCCAAGTTTGGTTCTCAGAAGCTCGAATTTCTCCAGTTTGAGAGGTTTAGTTAAAATGTATGTTGCTTGCTCTTCAGTGCCACAATGCACCATTTCAATCACTTCTTCTTTTACCAGATCTCTGAGGAAGTGGAAGCGAACATCTATGGGCTTGCTCCTGCCGTAGAGTATTGGATTTTTGGATAGCTTGATAGTGGAACTGTTATCACAGTACACTTTTGTGGCATCTTCAACACTTCTTTCCATCCCATCTGCTTCAAAATCCTCCTCAACCAGACACATTGTGTTGCACTGTATGAAGCAGCTACAACCTCTGCTTCTGTGGTAGAAAGAGTAACCACTGGTTGCTTCTTTGAGGCACAAGAAATGACCCCACCAGCCAGAAAGAATGCATACCCGCTTGTACTTTTCCTGCCATCTTGATCTCCATCATAATCATTGTCAGTATACCCTACTAGACAACCTTCTTTCCATCCCTTTTGATACCAGATTCCATGCCCCAGAGTTCCTTTGATATATCAAAGAACCCTTTTTTATGCCAACACGTGTTGTCTTGTTGGATTTTCCATGAAACGACTCAGCAGGCAAACTAAATACATGATGTCAGGTCGACTGGCAATTGCATAGAGGAGATTTCCAATCAACTGTTTGTATTCAGTTGGATTTTTTGGAATGCATCACCTGCTTTTGTTAGCTTCATTCCAGGAGCAATTGGATTCCTTGCATAGTTGCAGTCACTCAGATTGAACTTCTCTAGGATCTCCTTAACATACTTCTGCTGTGAGATAAAGATGCCATCTTCTGTTTGATTGATCTCCACCCCTAGAAAATACTTCATACGACCTAGATCTGTCATTTCAAATTCATGTTGCATTGACCTTTTGAACTCAAAAATCAGATTAGGACAGTTACTTGGGTAGATTATGTCATGTACATACAGACTGGCCAAAAGAATCTTTCTTTCACTTCTTTTTATTAACAGTGTTCATAAGTACTCCTCTTAAAGCCATTTCTCAATAAATAGACTTCAATGCTGGAATACCATGCCCTTGGAGCTTGCTTAAGGCCATAGAGTGCCTTCTTCAACTTGTACACTTTATTTTCTCCCCAACAACCTCAAATCCTTGAGGTTTCTCGACATAAACTTCCTCCTCCAGCTCTCCATACAAGAAGACACTCTTGACATCTAGCTGGTAGACTACTAGTCCATGATGAGCAGCAGTGCCAAGAGTGTTCGAATTGTATCCCATCTTGCAACAGGTGCAAAAACCTCTATGTTATCAATTCTAGCCTTTTGTGAGCAGCCCTTAGCCACTAATCTGGCTTTGAACTTGTCCACAGAACCTATCTCAGTCAGCTTGGTTTTGTAAATCCACTTGAGACCAATTGTAATAACATTTGGT